TTGCCTAACACAAATTAACAAAATACTTGTCATGACTATATCCAGCAGTTAGTTAATATTTATTATACAAAAAATTATATGAAAAGGGAAGTTTCAAAGCTGCATTATTTTTAAGTTATTCAGTAGAAAAACTCAGCCAGTTTAATAATTTTACCAGGGTTACTAAAACATTTTTTATTTTAAACATTTGTTTAAAAAAAAACATGCTTTAACTAAAGGAAAAAGCAAATCACCAAACCCAAGGCTAAATCTTTGGTATGTGCTGGCAGTGCCCCTCCCAGCATACTTTAAAGGGTCAGATTTTTTTTTTAAGTTCACCCCCCACACTCCTAGGGTCCTACCATCAGGCAAAGGATCAACCCAATGTTTGTTGAGTCCCATGGGAATAGAATCCATCTCGGCTTCTCGCTGGGCTTGCTTGAGTTCCCGTCTTTCTTTGGCCAAGGCACTCTGCATCATGGCTGCCTGAGAGAGCGAGCCGTCCGGGTTCTAATGCAAGAGAACAAAGCAACATTAGAGTGGGATCTCAGCGTGCGTTAGATGTGGGATCTCAGCGTGCGTTAGATGTGGGATCTCAGCGTGCGTTAGATGTGGGATCTCAGCGTGCGTTAGATGTGGGATCTCAGCGTGCATTAGATGTCCAGGAAATAAAATGTAGATGTTAAACCACTTGAACCTAAAGAATAAGACCCACTTAGAAAAACAGTTCATATCAACATACCAGACTACATGAAAGAAAGTGTAGCTGATTCAGAGAAAATGAACAAGGACAATAATAAATCACTGAAGGAATTGAGGATGTTGACTTAAAATTGAGAACCCCAAGAGAGATAGAACATATAAGAAAGGAATAAAGCCCTAGCTGGTTTGGCTCAGTTGGATAGAGCATTGGACTGCAGACTGGAAGGTCCCGGGTTAGATTCCGGGCAAGGGCACATGCTCCGCTTGCAGGCTTGATCCACAGTAGGGGGCGTGCAGGAGGCAGCCAATCAATGATACTCTCTCATCATTGATGTTTCTATCTCTCTCTCCCTCTCCCTTCCTCTTTGAAATCAATAAAAAAAATTTTTTTAAAAAAAGGAATAAAAATTCTTCTGTATGAACCCATGAACTAAAATGAAGACCACTGCACTTCTGGAAGACAGATTTCAGTTCCACCTAAAGAATGAATGATCAGATCCACCTGTAGGTGGAATGAGTTTCCTTAGGGCTGTGAATTCCCTCACCAACAATGTCAAGCAGATGTGAGAAGACCACATGGAGGAACACTGAAGAAGGATACATAGGTGAATACAAGCACTGAATGGGTGGCTGGGCTGAGAGACCTTTAAGAAAACCCTTTTCCAAATCTAAAATTTTATCTTAACTGTTCCATGAATTCTTCTCCTGACAGATAGGCCACAACATCCAGTGCTAATAGCTTTATGTTAGGGGCCAACAGCAAGTGAACCCTTCCAAATTGCCTTTGAATATGCAAGGTTATGATTCAAGCCCTAAGGCCTGGGCATAATTGTGATGGTAGATCAAGCACACATATTTATCTCTGCTTCTTCAAAAAAAAAAAAAAAAAAAGAAAGAAAGAAAGTAAAAGAATTACACAGGCAAAAGCAGGGTCAATATCCTTTTAAAACAAAAATATTCTAGACCCTAATCAACAGTCAATACTACCTCCTGTGGTCTGAGTTCTGCTTACACAGATTAATAAACTGCTCTGAAAACTGAATTGTTACATTAAGAAGTTCACTTGACAAGTCCAGATTAGAGTCCCAGCATTTCTCACCTTAACAATTTTAATAGGGCTCATGTCCATGCTTTGCTTGGTGTGCCCTCTCAGGAAGGGAGGCTCTTCCTCAACCAGTTCGATCTCAAGGTCCTCATCTAAAAGTCCCCCCAAAAAGAAGAATTAGTCAAAAACAAAAGAGAAAAGTGACCAACCATTTTCATCAAAAGAATTAATTTCCATAAGCACCAGAAATCATTACCTAATTTGGCTCCCAAGGTCAAAAGGACAGAAATGCAAGTAAAGCCACACCCAGGTGTCTGCTACCCCCGGTCTCCAGCCATTTCCAGGGCATTTGTGCTCCCACCAAGAACTAACCAGAGCCACTTTCAAAAACATTAAGCCTGTGGGAAATGCTGCTCTGATATTCTAGATGGTACTAAGGTACTTGCCATCCAACTTAATTATAGAATTTACTCTTAACCCACAATAGAGTTGCACACACACAAAAAGAATTAAGTTGGACAAAGGGACAGTACTAAATGTTGCCAAGAATGTGGAGCCACAGGGCCCTGTTGGTCTGGCTCAGTGGATAGAGCATCAGCCTATGAACTGAAGAGTCCCAGGTTCGATTCCAGTCAAGGGCACATGCCCAGTTGCGGGCTCGATCCCCAGTGGGGGGCATGCAAAAGGCAGCCAATCAGTGATTCTCTCTCATCATTGATATTTCCACCTCTCTCCCTCTGCCTTCCTCTCTGAAATCAATATATATATATATATATATATATATATATATATTTTTTTTTTTTTTAATGTGGAACAAGAGGAACTCACATTTCTGTTAGAAATGGAAATTGGTGCAAAAACTTCAGAAAACAATTTGGACTGCTGGTAAAGTTGAACATGCACATTCCTACCACCCAGTAATTCTTCTCCTCAATATTTAGGAAAAAAAGAGAAGGTCTTGCATATGTGCAGCAAGAGACAAGTATAGGAATTTTTTAACAGTATTATTCATAAAGGTAAATAAAGACCAGAAACAGCCCATATGCCATCAAAAGTAAAATAGATAAATTATGGTAAATTTAGATAGAGCAACACTCTGTAGCAATGAAAATGAATGAAATACAACTATAAAAATCAACATAGATAAATACCAAAAGAATGATAATGAATCAAGAAAAATTAAGTTCAAAAACAAACTAATGTTTAGGGACAAATATATAGATAGTAAAATGTTAGTAAGAGTGAGGAAATGAATAACACAAAATTTAAGAGGGTGGATGCACAGAGAAAGGAGAAAGATCTAATCAGAGGGGCATGTAGGGGGGTCAAAGGTGCTGGTAAGCTCTACTTTACTGGTAGGTAGGTGTGTAGATGTTCATTTAGTAGGTGCTCATTTACTGTTGTTATATAAATTATATATGTTCCATTACAGGATTTATTTCACAATTTTTAAAAATTGTTAATGGACTGAGTTAAAAATTGTTTCTAGGACAACTCAGAGTTCATCTAAGTGGACCCAGGGTTTTCAGAACAATTACTAAGAATATGAGATCAAATATAATCCTCAAAATATAATTAAACATTTTCTATCTTGAAAACTTATTATAAGCAACAAGCATAATAATATACAAATGTTTGCCAGAAACATGAATTTTTTTGCTTCCATCATGGAGAGACACTTGTTCTTAGAGATGAGTGGTGAGACCCAAGGAACAAATGACTCACAACCACTGGATTAAACTACAAATAAACCACCTTGTCCAATAGCTCAACTTTCCAACTTTCCTCCCAATCCATTATCCTGCTCAATCCCAGTGGCTAGTTACCTTCTTCATCATCTACTTTAGGAAGAATGCCAGTCTCTTCATCGAAGTCTGGAAACTCTTCTTTGGAAAGCACATTAGCAGCAATCATCTAGCCAAAGGACAGAAAGCAGCATTTGTAACTTGCTAAGATCAAAACTCTTCTTTTGGAGAAGAATTAATACAGAGGTTTCATGTAGAAAACCAAGGTTTTTTTTCTCTTCTAACCCAGGATTGCAGAGCCTCAAACATCATAAATCCCATCCCTGGGGGACAAGACAACATGGTGCCCGAAAGCCTGGCTCAAGTGTCTCTTCCCCAGAAGAGTTATCTGCTAAGTCTGCTCCTTTCCTTGGTTCCATAGCATTCTACACATTCCTTATTATGTAATATGTAAACCTTTACAATTTTGGATTTCAATTTGTCTCCTCCACTGGACTTGGGAGTTCCTCAAAGGCAGGAACCATGTCTTTGTAGCCCTAGCTTCTACATAGTACCTGGGACACCCGTGGTTCTGATATTTACTGATGAATGATAAAAACAAGAGCAAAAATTTACATAGCATTACCATATATGCAGGCACTAACCTAAGAGTTTTACTTCTATTAACTCATTTAGTCCCCACAAGTCCACCACCGACTGTTTTTACAGAGAAGCATACCGAGGCACAAAGAGGGAGAATAACTTGGCTTAGAATCACACAGCTAGTTAAGTAGCCAGAAGTCACCCAGGCCATCAAGCTCCAGGGCCCACACTCTTAACCACCATGCTACATAGTGAATGGCTATGTGGCTATGAAAGCAAATGGCCCCAACCTGTTTGATCTCCCACTTCTCTGGGTCAGAGATGCGGGTAAGGCGCTTGCGCTCCAGCGAGTCATCCTCTACTTCAGGGGCACTGACGAGGGAGAGGTGAGTGGGTCTGTCCGGATTCCTCATAGAAGTCTCCTCATTGGTCTCCCCTATAAGATTTCGTCGTCGATTTGGGTTCAGATCTTCCCCTGTCTCTTGATCCACATCCTAAGGCACACAGAAAATGAAGCTAGCTCACTTGCTGTCCTCTTATGTGTCCTGGGCCATCAGATGTGGTAACAGGCTGGATATCTCACCTACCTTCATGCTCAAACTGGTCTTGGTCCCAGTGAAGGACAACACTTTGACCTTGACTCTCTGGCCTTTGCTCACCACATCAGCCACATTAGCGACACGGCCTTCCCGCCGGAGCTCAGAAATATGCACCAGGCCTTCCCACCGCTTCCTGAGGGAGAGTCAGACACATCCAAAGCATGTCTAAAATACCTGTTCCCAACAGACTTCTACCCTTGTTGGAACTGAACAAATGGAAATGGTCTTAAGCTCAAGAGGAAAGTAACAAGAAGGGGGTCAAACAATAGCATATACTATTACCACCCTCCCTCCCAAAAACATGAGGCGGCAGCGGGAATAAGAATTGAGCAGACTCTTATCTGTCTCAATCAGCCAAAGGGCAGATCTCCTGAAGACCGAGGAAAGAAGAAATGGCTCTACAACACTTCAAACATGAAGTCAATTTCTAATCAACTGATATGGCTGATTTAAGTGTCATTAATCGTAATAACTTTCTATAATGTGAAAATCCCCAGTGATAAAGAAATTCTGCCCATTACTGGTGTGCAAGAAGGGCACTCGCCATTACCTTAGTCCCTCTAGCTGCACAAAGCATCCAAACTGCATGATGCTGGTAACTTTGCCATTGTAAATGTCCCCGATAGCAGGCTCTTCCGGGGGAGGGCGGTCCACGTGCTTATCCCGCCATCTGTCCAGATTCCTCTCCCCATACTTGTCTCGGTCCTTCCGGTCTTTGGGGGGACTCTGACTTCTGCTCCTGGACCGATATCTAGACTTCCCTTTATTCCTCTCACGGGTCCTGGAACGTGATCGAGAGCGGGACCGGTGTCTCCGCTTGTGGTCTCTATCACGGTCTCGTTCTCTATCACGATCACGATCACGGTCACGGTCACGGTCACGGTCACGCTCTCGCTCCCGACTCCGGCTCCGCTTCTTCTTCTTTGTCTTGTCCCTAACAAATCAACAGACACCTGTGTAAAAAAGAAACCAGCCCAATTCCATCTCTGTATCCCCAAGCACCCAGCACAGTGCCATGCACCTGGTTAAGTGCCTTCTAAGAGTTAAACTGAACTACAGTTTCAATAACTATGACATCCCTGCAGATCAATAAAGAATGAGGCCATAAACATATTCAGCCTCTGAGCCCATATTTCCATCTTCTGAACATCTTAGCATTTGCTGCATACATACTCTTGACAGGGAGCAATAAAAATAGATCTAACAACATGGTAATGGCCAGTCTAGATTCTGTCAACTAGCCCAAAATTTGAGCAGACTCTTATCTGTCTCAATCAGCCAAAGGGCAGATCTCCTGAAGACCGAGGAAAGAAGAAATGGCTCTGCAACACTTCAAACACGAAATCAATTTCTAATCAACTGATATGGCTGATTTAAGTGTCATTAATCATAATAACTTTCTATAATGTGAAAATCCCCAGTGATAAAAAAAATTCTGCCCATTACTGGTGTGAAAGAAGGGCACTAGCCATTACCAAATTTTGGCACTAGCCAAAATTTTCCTTGGCTGGTCCGCAAAATTCAACTATCATAGTATGCTAAACTTCCAAAAGATAGGACATCAAGGACAAACCGGTGCTCAGCATCTCTTTGCTTCTCCTGGCCTGCTGCGCTGGGCATTAAAGCCTCCAGTTCTTTCAGGACATCCACAGCAACTTTCACATCATCCTCATCCAGCATGGTCTACAGAGGCAGAGGAGAAAAGTTAGGAGAAGAAGAGGTGGGGGAAGAATATCACTCAAAATCTGTACTTCAGGAGTATTTGAGATCTTGTTTTCTGACAATGTCCTCAGTTTGGCTCAAATAAACACTTATAAAAAAAATCTGTACTTCAGGTACTACAAGTCTGACAGTCTCCACATTGCTAACTGCCTATGTGAAGGAAGCGGCAGGGGGAGGGAGGGTGGAGATTCCCAACACAATTTGAGATAGAGGCAGAGGTATGAGCAAAGGCTCTTGGAAGTCACTTCTACATTTGGCAAATCCCCTTTGTCCTTAATGCAAGGCTATGGAAGGAAATTAGATATCACCCCTTCTGTGAAAGCAATGCAAACAAAGATTATAAATAGAAAATAGATGCTAAAATTTTTAAAAAGCAACTCTCCCTCTGCATTTGCTTCTCCCTTTCACCTGCTTAATTTTTTCTATAGTACTTACCCCTGTCAGCTACATATACATATGTGCTTACTTATTTGTTTATTGCCTGTCTCCTCTCTGCTAGAGGAGTTTACATATATTTATTTCCTGCCTCCACCCCAATACTAGAATGTAACCATCTCCAAGAGGGCAGAAACTCTAATCTACCTTGTTCACTGCTGTATCCCTGGTACTTAGAACAGTGCTTGGCACATAGTAGATACTCAATAAATACTTGCTAAAATAAAATTTTAAAACCAAAACATTTCAAAAATTAGACATTCTAACAAGTAATGGAGCAAAAAATCTAATTTTACACATCAGGCATCTGTTCTAGAACCTTAAGTTATTTCATACCTATTTCATATCCCTATTCACAGCTTTCCACAATTCCTAATCTCATTTCCTTCAAATATCATTCTTGAACCCTTTAACATTATTCTATATGTAGTACATGCTCAGGAATGATCAAATATTTTCACTTTGAAAAATATATTACAATAAAGGAAAACTTAAAATAATAAGTAATGGAAAAAGAGAGAAAGAAAAAAATTAACTAATGAGACAAAGAAAAGAGACTGGGTGGGGGTAACATGCAGTTACAGTAGACATTCTCAAAATGGTATCAGTACCCGAACAGAAGGGTTGTCTGGTTGGCAAAGGACTGGAAAGAGTTCTTTCAGTTTTTCTTTCTCAGTTTTGGGTTTAACAACTGGATCTTGTTTCATTAAAGAACATGAAAGAATGTAAAAGAAAAGATATATTTAATATTCTTAATGGTTAACAAAAGAACTTCATTAGATTTGCATCAAACTAAAAGCAGAACATGGAACTTTTCTACATATTACTCTTATATACCAAGAGAAACATAATTTAATTATCTAAAAAAAAATCTCTACATATAAAACTCTAATATGCAAACAGACCGAATGGCAGAACCACCAAACAACAGGTCACTATGACGTGCGCACTGACCACCAGGAGGTGCGTGCGGAACATGGCGGGCATCGGTAGCAGTGGAATGGTGGAGCAGGTGAGTGGGGGCGCCAGACCAAGGCAGGGCACCAGTCGCTGTCATCGGGGCGAGCCTCTGTGGTTACTGACAATTCCTTGCTCTTGCATGCCACGGTTCTACCTGGCACTCACACCTGCTGCCGGCGTCTGGTGCTGGTCCTGACCACTCAGCGCCGTCAGCGGGTGTGAGCAGCAGTTGCCAGCCCCAATTGTCCCTGAGGGCTTCTCCACCTCCCTCTGCTCCTGAGGGGCGATCTGGGCAGCAGCCGCCGCTCACACGCGCTTAGGGCACCAGCCCCACTCGCACCCGCTCCTTGGTGCCAGCCCCAATCGCTCCACACCGTCAGCAGCAGCTGTGGGAGCAGCAGCGGTGAGAGCGGGGCTGCCGGCAGACAGGGGACCAGGGGCCATGGTGGGAGCACGGAGGATGAGCAGAGACCCGCCCCTGTGCCCACTGCAGCTTCACGGCCCACAGTTCCTTTCAAGGTGCACGAATTCATGCACTGGGCCCCTAGTTGATTATAAAACCTCAACAAACTATGTGGGCATCGGGAAGTGTATCAGTATTCATTTGGTTGGTTATGTCTTATAATTCTCACAATTTTAACTTTAAGTCATTTGAAAAATTTTACTACAACATTTACTTGTTCAGCAGCTGCAACAAGCGAAACAAACACAATATTCTTAATGGTTAACAAATGAACTTCCACACTAGATTTGCATCAAACCAGAAACAGAATGCTTGACAGTCTACACCATTCTGGAGGCTAAGCTCAGCTAGCAGCTCTGCTCACCTTTGCTAGTAGAAGGCTTTGCTGGAGGCCGCATGGTTTGTATGAGACGCAGCAAGTTACTAATAAGAGAATCCTTGGAAAACAAACAGAACAAAAATTGTCAGCTCCTAGATCAGTGCTTAAAACACTAAGAAGAGGGATGTCCTCTAAAGTTTAGAGAAGAGTAGTTATCCCTGCCTGCCCCATTTTTCTAGAAAAGTGTCACAGGAAATCCAGTTACATCACCACTGCTTAGTGCAGGGGTGGGCAAACTTTTTGACTGGAGGGCCACAATGGGTTCTTAAACTGGACCGGAGGGCCGGAACAAAAGCATGGATGGAGTGTTTGTGTGAACTAATATAAATTCAAAGTAAACATCATTACATAAAAGGGTATGGTCTTTTTTTTTTTTTTTTAGTTTTATTCATTTCAAACGGGCCGGATCCGGCCCGCGGGCCGTAGTTTGCCCACGGCTAGCTTAGTGGCATGAAAACATTACACTTGATTGTCTAACCACTATGCTGTACACCTGAAACTGATACAGAATAATATTGAACATAAACTGTAATTGAAAAATAAAAAAAATTATACACTTAATGATGTATCAGATTGGTATGTACCAAGTATCTCCTTTCTCTATCAAAACCCTAATTAGCCGAACCGGTTTGGCTCAGTGGATGGAGCGTCGGCCTGCGGACTGAAGGGTCCCGGGTTCGATTCCGGTCAAGGGCATGTACCTGGGTTGCGGGCACATCCCCAGTGGGGGGCGTGCAGGAGGCAGCTGATCGATCTCTCTCATCGATGTTTCTAACTCTCTGTCCCTCTCCCTTCTTCTCTGTAAAAAATCAATAAAATATTTAAAAAAAAAAAAACCCTAATTAAATCCTATCAAAATTAAAATTCAATAGTGACAGTAAAATAAAGCAGGGGTCTCCAGACACACATACCGTGAATTCTGCACCATTTTTGACCAGAGAAGTCTTAAAAGTATCAAAGGTGGTATTTTTCTCAGCAAGACTGATCACAAATTCAGCTGCAAGAGAGAAAAGAAATTAAAACAAGAATGGAGACTTGAGCAAAAAAATCAATTAAAAAATGTTATAAACAAAACTAACTAGGTTATCCAAAGTCATAAAAACCAAAGACCACCATCCAGTAAGGGTAAAGGAAGAGAACTTAGACTACCAAGATTATCCATGTCGGTTCCAGCTAAATTTTTTAAAAGATCTCATTGGCTTTATTGAACAATTCATGAATCAGGCAGCATCCCATCTAGTAAAAAGAAAGGTATTCTTATTCTAGTTCATTTTTCAAAATCCTCACCCAGAATATGTTTATTAATTTTAGAGAGAGAAGAAGGAAGAGTGAGAAACATCGACTGGTTGCCTCCCATATGCACCCCAACTGGGGATCAAACCTGCAACATGGTGTGTGCCCAAAACCTTTTTGGTGTACAGATGATACCCCAACCAACTGAGCCACCCAACCAGGGCTCTAGTTAAATTTCACAAATGAAAAGCTGTCACTACAAAATGGCTCACCAGGCCTCTGAGTGAATGTAAGGGAGACCTCCTTGTCCCATATCATCGTAATCTCTTCCATGAAACTACTAGCTAGAGGTTACAATGTCTGAAAGCATGAGCCCATACATACACCCACACATACACACACTCGCAACGGATGCATGCACAGGATGCTTTCTACAGCTTTTGGAAAGGCAGACTCTATATATGAGGGCCGGGCAACCGCTGGATGGTACAATCAAGTTAATAAAAGACTCACTTGCCCCCCAAATTTTTCTCCGTAAACCTGCCTAGTTTTTGAAACTTCTAATGTTAGAGCTATTTAATAATTAAGAGACTTTCAGAAGAGAAGTGCATTTTAGGATAAGCTGAGATAATATGCCTCCAACTGTGAGTCCTAGGAGAAAATTTGAATGATTTCATTCGGATTTTAATCCTAACAAATAACAATAACATGGAAGATCTGAATAACGAACATAAATTAGTCCTAACATACCATTTCCATGCTGGAATGTGCCTTTACCTGTTTGATGACAATAAGTGAAAACCAAACGCCATCAGGCTACAATGGACTTAATAACAACAGTGCCAGTGGTTAAGACTTTTGAACCATCTTACATGCCAATCGCTATGCTAAGTGCTTCCTTCCCATGATCCTCACAGGTCGTTATTGTGGGATATCCTGGGCCAGGTCAGGCCGCCCCAGAGATCCCACAATGGCGTATTGATTACTTTGCCTTAAAGTTACTCAACAAGCAGTCGGTGCAAGAAGAATAATGTCTACCATCATTATCATCATCATCATCATCCTCAACAACAACAACGACGACGACGACGACTCAGCTGCTGTTGTTAATGCTGCTTAATTTATCTGAGGCTGGGGGGGGGGGGGGGGGGGAGAGCAAGCAGCGATGGCCGCTCTGGGTTTCACTGACAGCCCTGGAAAATGGTTTCTAACAACTCCGCCAGGAGAGTTCTTATGCGGAGGCCACGGCCGCAGGTTTCCTGGGCCCAAGTCTCTGAGAGAGAGAGATTCCTACGGACACACACCCAGCCCCTCAACCCATTTCTCCTTCCGCTTCCCTCGACCCCAAGCCCGGAGGCCGCGGAAACTTCCCCGAGCTCACCCAGATCCTTGTCGTTGATCCCCAAGTGATTGTCCAACTCGGTGCAAACCTTCGACACTAAAGACAGATACTCGAGTTTGGCGAGTTCTTCCGCGGGGCCTAGCTCCGTCCCGTTTACGGCTCCCACCATGGCCACAGCCACCGCCATGGCTACGGCTTCCCCCCGCCTCCTCACCGATGGCCTTCGGAGCTACACCGACCCGGTTCCAATTTCCACTTCCGGGTCGGGGCACATCCCTTTTGTTTACGATAAATTGAAAACTCCAGGAACTTCCGGTGACGTAACCGGGTGGATCATAGAGATCAGACAGGAAGTGGCTAAGGAAGGGACGGCCGAGTGGGCCACTCTGCACACTGGATGGCGCCCTCTACAGGCCAGCGAGCTTCTTGGCGGACTCTCAGGCCCGGAAACAGTCGCTCTCAGCGCGTTCCTTTTCTTGCGTCGGCAGAGGGCGACCGTGGCCCGCGCAAAGGGCGCCTGCGCTTTAGAAGCCTTGAAAAAGAGACCCAAATTCAAGGGGAAAAGGCAAAACTTGCTTTACAACAGACCCCTATATTCCCAAGGCTGTGCCTCTTCGTAGCTCATGACTATCTCAGGCGACTCTGTAACAAACCAGCAGGCAATGGAGTCTAGTTCTGTTACTAACTCATTTTACACGTGAGGCAATGGACAAGTGATCTTGGGCAAATTAATCTCAGCGGCCTGTTTTCTCTTCTGTTCATTGGGATGATGATGCTCCAACTGGGTTCAGGTGATGACTAAACGAGATAGTTATGCAAGGAGCCTGACACAGTAAACACACTGCAGACGGCAGTTACCACCATCCCAAGGCCCAAACAGTGGTCACTGTAAGGTTTGTGAACCTCAGATCCCCTCAGTCTGAGTCCCCAGAATGCCACCTGGCTCCTCCCGTGAAAACTGCTCAACCCCTGATTTCCTTCATGCTAACGAGGCCAATCACCTCGGTCCTCTCAGAACTTGTACCCAAAAATATCTGCTAAGCTGTGAACCCACTGTCATAAGCTCAGGTCTCCCAGTTTCTGCTTCAGGCCCCCTTTCCCTTTTCGGTAACTCTGTGCTGAGGTGAGGATTTTCCCACACCGCACTGCTCCGTGTGATGAACAAGGAAACCGAGGCACCCCAAAGTGAGTGGCCCTGTACTCAATCAAAAGGGAGGAAATCAGATCCTTTTGCTTTTAGCTTCAGGCTACATCACACTGCTGCACTTTTGGAGTCTGTTCACCCAACATCTCACCGGGCACTAAAGAAACGGCCAGGAGAAAACCCTGGAGTGGTCGCTCTCACTGCCTCCAAGACCTCCATGTTTCCAGGTTCCTACAAAGTCAGCACTGGCCCTGCCCAGTTTGGCTCAGTGGAAAGAGCGTTGGCCCGGAGACTAAAGGGTCAAGGGCATGTACCTCTGTTGCAGGCTCGGTTCCAGGCCAGGTCCGGATGCATGCGGGAGGCAACCAGTCGATGTATCGCTCTCACATTGATGTCTCTCTGTGGGTCTCTCCTCCTCCCTTCCACTCTTTCTAAAAATCCATGGAAAAATATGCTTGGGTGAGGATTAAAAAAAAAAAAAAAGTCAGTACTGTACTATCTAACCTCTTCCTACCCCTCCCCTTTCTCTTTCTCCTTTTCCCCAGGCATAGAATGGAAAATCCTGCACTTGATTCCACATGCTCAATTTGCCAGTTTGGAGTTAGGATAACAAGGGCTTATTCCATTTGACTTCCTTTCTTTGTGCTTCTTTGCCTTGAAATTAGATTTATATTCTGCTTTCCTCAAATATTTAACTGAAAGGGGGGAAAACCTGGAGTTTGTTTTGTTTTAAAAGTTCTGTGGGGAAAAAAAGCTATAGAACCATAACATGTAGCAAGAGTAACAATATAAGACCATAAAAATTTTTCTAATTATTTGAAAGTTATTGAACATTTATCTCCATAGTAAATATTAACAGCAAAACTTATTAAATTTTATTTACATATGCCATTAAATGCATGTTTTCCAAAGTGAACGGTTTTTTTGCAACACACATATTACCTGTTACACCACGGAATTTTTTTTTTTTTTTATGCTGAAGGAAAACAAGTAAATACATAGGTACTGACAACGTGACAGCCCAAACACAGATGCACGTAGAATCCTACTGTGGATGAAAAGGGGATGCTGTAATAAACTATAAATTCCTAACTGGGCAGGTCATGGTGTGTAGTCATGCCCCAGGCCTATAACTTCTCTAAGGAAGAGTTTTTAAGCCAGCCTTCTCCATTGTTCTTGTGCATCTAGGTTAATATGCCTTTGAAATGCCAGAATAAATACCCCCTCAAAGATGTAACCACCCTCAAGAAATCACATAATCCTTGCCTTGATTTCTCCCACCTTCATGTAATCTCCCTTATGTGTTCCCTCAATTTCAAATGCATAAAAGAAACTGTGAAACTGTCATTCTCCAGAGCCTTTGAGATCTTGCTTCTCAGCACTGTCACTGTCAGTTTGAGCGCAAATAAACTCATAAAAATTCTCTACAGGTTTGGACATTTTTTTCATCAATACTACTCTCTTCCCATAAAAGATGCTGAACAAAATGCAGGTCAAATGCATTCTAGTTGTCCTTTGGGTATTATATTTTTTAAAATTATACCAAGTATAATTAATTGTCCATTATCATTATATTGCCTTCCTTGGACAGCCTCCATGTGGCCCTTTTAACACAGCCATTGATAGTTCCCAGTAAATAATGTACCTTAACAAAAAAATAGTAAAACAAATAGTCTATGCTTAGTCACTACCCACACCACCACCTGCGATGGGTAAGAAATTATTTCCCACCACCCTCCTCATAACAAGGGCGTTGTTTATATACTTATTCCCAGGCTGATGTATGTGTTCAACCCTGACCACCATTCGGACATTATTTCTGCTCTGTCCCAAAGACTGCTTCCAGCTGTGAGCAGTTGGGTAAGACTTTGGGAAGTAGGAAAGAAAGCACTGAACCTCTTAGCGCCTCTAGATTGGATGGGGGAGGGCAGACATAATCTAAGTGCGTGTAGCTGAAAGGTGGCATCCTCAGGGAAGGTGGTGAGAAAAGTCACAGGACTTCCTGTCACCCATCAAAACGGTGTTGCTGCAAACAAGACAGCCCTGGCTTTTCCTGCTGGGCTAAAACTGAGATCTGAGGGGAGACACCTCTGTTCTGCAGGCAAAATCAGAATCCTTTGCTTCTAAGTGTGTAACTGCCACTCAGCTGTGCTTGTTATTAATGAAAGAAACTTCAGGGGGGGAAAATGGCTCCTTTTTCACGTTTCCACTGGGGCCCTGACCCAACTGGGGAGTCTGGGAGCCAACCTAAAGACATTGATGAGATGGCCTGAGCGCTTTCATCTGAGGCCCTCACTGACAGGGACAGGACCCCAGAGAAAGTGAAGTCGTGAAACACCCCTTGAACTTTCCCCCAAATTCTTCTCCAAATTCAACTCAGCAAACACGTATTGACCATCTATTTTGTGCCCAAGCACTGTGAAAGGTTTTGGAAAGCATCATTAGGGGAAAACCATCAGGAAATATCTAGAATACTCTGAATGCCATCACTCCTGGTGGGTGGCAGAGCTGTGTTTATAACTCTGGCCGCTCTGCTGCCTTAACTTGAGCTCAGGTGATTGGGAAACCAAAAAAACAACAAATCAGATCTGCTCCCTCAGGGCAGCTGGGAAGGGGGCAGGGGCCAGGATCATCTCACAGGGCAGTCCATCCTGTTGCAATCCATTATTTGTCTGCCTTATCTTCTAATGCCCAAGCACAGCTTCAAATTTGCGCACAATGTCCCTGACCTAAAATTCCCTTTCTTCTTAGGCCATCAACCTGCCATCACTAATAGGATGTTTTGGGTTCTAAGTTCTCTAAAGTTTTTCAGTGTTAGACAAAAAAATTGTTCTGCCTCACCTAGCATTTTCTTTCTTTCTTTCTTTCTTTTTTTTTTTTTTTTTTTTTTTTTTTTTGTCACAACCAAGTTCCTCCTGTCTCTCTCATTTTAAGGGCTATCTTTAAAATGCCAGGAAGAATCAGACTCCCTATGATGTGAACTTCTTAAGAAAATTTATTCCCGCCCTAGCCAGTTTGGCTCAGTGGATAGAGCATCAGCCTGCGGACTGAAGGGTCCCAGGTTTGATTCCTGTCAAGGGCATGTACCTTGGTTGCGGGCACATCCCCAGTAGGAGGTGTGCAGGAGGCAGCTGATCAATGTTTCTCTCTCACCGATGTTTCTAACTCTCGACCCCTCTCCCTTCCTCTCTGTAAAAAATCAATAAAAATATTTTTTTTTAAAAAAGAAAATTTATTCCCCCATCTCTACATCCTCACCTGTGGGAATTTTCACATATTTATTTATGAGTTAATCATCCTTTGGCATCTAGTTGGTATTTCTTAGACTTACTTTAAGTTAGTTTTCTTTTTTAAAAAAATTTTTAAATCAATATTACAAGTAGAGGTGACAAAGTAACACGTTATCTTAGGCTTCTTTTTTCTCTAGTGAGATTTAGCCCCCATCTCTGGGGATAGGGTATTTTTGTAGCCTCTGCTTTCTGTTTAAGGTCATTCTTTAGGAATTTTTTTAAGAGTTTAAAATGAAAGAGTTTATTAGTGAAACAGTGACACAGAGAGTGGCTACTCCGCAGACAGAACAGGTCTTTAGGAACTCTTAAGGCTTTCCTTGGGAAAGATGCAAAAACCAGGCCAAACCAAGAAGTGAGTGGGTGGGGAGAGACCAGAGAAAAGAGGGATTGACATTCTGTTTGCAAGCCAAACATGTTACCAGCTGTCCAACTGGCCCAGGAACAAAGGTCTGTGTTAATCTGCACACTCTTGCCACTAACTCAAAAGAAACTGCTCCTCCATGCCCTGGCCAATGTGGCTTAGTTGGTTGAGCATTGTCCTGTGCAACTAAAAGTTGCCGGTTCAATCCCCAGTTACGGGTTCCATCCCTGGTAGGGAGTGTGCAGGAGGCAGCCCGAGCAATGATTCGCTCTCGCATCGATGTTTCTCTCTCTCCCTTCCTCCCTCTCTAAAAATCAATTTAAAAAAAATTTTTTTTAAATATATTTTATTAATTTTTTACAGAGAGGAAGGAAGAGGGATAGAGAGTCAGAAACATCCATGAGAGAGAAACATCAATCCTCTGCCTCCTGCACACT